GACAATGGACCTTTTTTGGCTGCGAAAATTTCACAAATGCGATTCCACGTTAGCTCGCTGAAACGGTTTTGTTCAACAGAAAGTTGCTTGGTTTGAAAGTGACTTGAAACCACATACTGACGCACACAAAGCCTTCCTGCCTAGTTTTTTAATTATTATTATTTCCACTAGGGGTGTAACGGTTCACAAAATTCACGGTTCGGTTCAATACGACACATTGGTGTCACGGTTCGGTTCGGTACGGTACGTTCGGTACGGGGGTAATTGGTTACGTCGCAATGTTGGAAATATTTCTGTTTTAAACCATGATGGCGAGCCAATTTATATCACACACAAGCAATGTGCAAACTTTGCGTTAGAGTTATGCCGGTGAACGTCTTAATCTCAGTCAATTCACAATACAGAAATTGAAAGTAAAAACGTAATGACGGAGCTTTCGGCATCTGATGCCGCATATTCTCTCAGAGACGACGAGAGATGAATCTACTTCAACATATGCTGATAACGGTATATAGCTAACTGTTTTAATTTATTCCCTTAATATTTCTAATATTACATAGTGGAAAAAAACTGAGAAGAAACATATTTCATGTTAAACAGGTTGTTTTTGAAAGTCGGTGCTTGAAATAAAAACTTATTATTTAATTGATTTTTATTGATGACTGCAGTGTTAATATTTTAATTGTAGCCCTATAAATCATTGTATAATAGACCTGTATTAAAATACCTTTTAAAAAACATTTTAATTGAGGAGTAAATATATAGCCTAATCTTTTGTTATCCTCGCAGCACGTCAGTTATTTGGTAATTATTGCGGGGCAAATTAATTGTAATTTTAATTTAATAGGCCTAATAAAAGTAACTTCATAATAGTAGTAATAATAATAATAGGCCTAATAAAAACAAGAATTTAACAGGTCTACATTAATTGGAAATGCCAAATATCTTAATATTGCCAACAATTGATGTTTTTGACAATATCTCTGACTATCGTCGATACAAGATCATCGTCTTTCGACGCACCCCAACAAGGGGAGGTTATCGCGGGGTCATTCGCTATTCCACTGGGCAGACCGCACGTTGCCTGTTACGTCGTTTGGGCTGCCTTGTTGAGCGCAGTGGCACTGAGAACATCATATTTCACACACTTTAAGCTGTTTTATTTTCCAAACGTAATAGGATTAGTCCAACGAATCGAATCGTTCGGTTTGTAATGCGCACCGAACCAAAAGCCTCGTACCGAACGGTTCAATACGAATATGTGTATCGTTACACCCCTAATTTCCACGTCTTTTTTAGTTGTCTTTTTTTAGTTGCAGCCTGAAGCCCTGCATATAATTAAATTCTAGATGTGTCTCATCAATCTCATATGTCCCGTAGCATGGAAAGGAGCAGTGCAGCCATAAAAAAACATTAAGTGTAGCTCATACAGTAGATTCTCAAGAGCACCATCACAAGAGCAAATTAGACTTCAAGTATTCAGCTTCTCAGCCACAAAGTGGTGTTTACAGAGCCAGTTTAGATTTGTTACCAATAGTGTTTACCAGTTTCTCCACTTAAAGTTTCACTGTTGATATTTTCTCACTCGTAGTCACATCAAGAGGGAGGATTCTATGTTTATCACGTTAGTGCATTTGACAGACAAATCAACATTCCTTAATCCTCCCTGCTTGCTATGATGTTGTGCCATTATATGGGTATTTTGAGATTTATTCATCTGCATTTAAATGCCATGCTATGATACAGATAAAATTACACATAGCATGATAACATGATGTCCCAAAGAGAGTGATTTGGTATGAGGATGATGAGGTTCTGTGGATTTGGGGTGCGTGCTTGTGTTCACCGCATCGGCAAACTGGGCGATGAAATGAATAAATAAAAAAATGTGGGACTGAAAGTTGTGCCTTGGCACGCTGACCTAAAATCCAGTGAAGACTCGCCATGTTTCCCGTGGGATTAATCCAGTGTGGCATACAGAGTGTAGCGCAGCCTGTAAGGATTATATGTACTGGACTTGGGCTCCCGCTGCCCTACTTTTCATTAAAATATAGAGAGAGAGAGGTTGCATGAATGCCTGGACAGATGGAGAGGGGGTTTGATTAAACAGTGCACCAAGTAGTGAGAAATGCTACAACTTTCTCTTTCAACGCACAGACAGTTGTAAATGTTCTGATTTTCATTATATTGTTGCATGGATGTTTTATTTGAATGCATGAGGCTGTATTAGTAATCGTGTTTTGTGCTTTTTTGTTTGACCCATGGGCTTATGAAGTCTAAGAGGATTGTTTGTTTCCTCTTGTATTTTCCTCCCGGCCTCATCATATTCTCACATTCACAGCACTAAACACAGCGATGGTGCTGTTCCTGAGAGAAATATCTTTGGTTGCCCCTGAGCTGCAGAAGCTGCTGAAATATGAATGAGACACTTAATGGCTGAGGCTGTATCGAGCCAGTGTTTACAGGGATCCCAGGATTTTGTGTCACGGGGCTTCTGGCTTTGATCTCAGGAAGTCCTCTTGCCACATGTCCCGATTCATAAATGCCACGGGGAGTCTGTGTGTCACACTGGATGTGTTTATGTTGCCTTGACTGAGGCCCTTATGCCCTGGCAGGACCCCATATGTGATCATCCCTCAAGACATGAAAAATGCTCAGTCACGTTTCTTATATACATGAAAATAAACAGCTATACACTGTACTACAGCTTTGGACAGATGGTAGTACTCTAATTTTTCTAAATATTTGGGGAAAAAAGTTTCTATCTCCATTCTGAATATTTCACGCTATTGGTTTATGGGATTTTCAGATTAAGACCATATACAAATCTAAATTTGGGAAGTTTTGTGACTTTTATTTGGAGTTTGTTCACTTTGAGGCTGTCTATAAGTGTGCTCCTTAACACTGGAAAAAAATAAAACATTTTAGTAGATATACAGATTTAAATTTTCTGGAAAAACTGACCAGAAATACTGATGAATCATCCTGCACTGCCACTGCATCAAATTTTTTTTTGTCCTTCAGGAATGAGAATGTCCCACAACCTGCCTCCAACTAGCATATAGTATGTATTTATTTCAATTTACGTGGTGGGATTTTTGAAATGGCCTTAAACAATTATTAAACAAATACCGGACACCCTTAACATCTCAGTCACAGTCCAAAATGTTCATTCATCAAGTGCCAAATCTGATTAAAAATCGCAGTCATTGGCAAGTGCCTAATGTTTACTTTTTATGAATTTGAACAAATCATGGTCGTGAAAAACCGTTATGGCTTATCAAATCACAAAGGCTGTGATGTAATTAAATATCTGATACGCTGCGAGTTGCATAGCTCAGTGTGGCGCTGTGTTCTTTTGCACACAAGCAGCTCATGATTCACTGTTTTCAGTGTCTCGGAATGGCTCAGTTCAGAGTAAATGCCGCTCAACATGAACTCCATCTGTGAGTTTGGGACGCATATAATGTGCATATGAAAACGCAACACACATCAACCATCTTTCTAAATTTGTAATGAGAATTTTTTTGTAAATCTATTAAAGGGATAGTTCACCCAAAATGAAAATTAGCTCATAATTTACTCACCCTCAAGACATCTTAGGTGTAGCTATATGACTTTCTTCTTTCAGACGAATCCAATCAGAGTTATATTTTAAAACGTCCTAGCTCGTCCAAGCTTTATAATGGCAGTGGGTGGGTGTTATTTTGTGACTACACCCACATCCTACGTCATCCGCCTGGAATGGCGTTCTCTTGTGAATGCGCGTATGTCAGTTAGCAGAAGTTATTACTGTTTATAACATTTTAAATATGGATATTTTTCTTACAAAAACGCATTGATTCGCTACAGGAGGCCTTTATTCACCCCTCCGGAGCCATGTGAAGCACTTTATTGGACTTCTTTTGGACTATTGGAAAAGACAGGATGTTTTTAAATATAACTCTGATTGTATTAGTCTGAAAAAAGACTCATAGACTCAAAAGTAAATCATAGGGTAATTTTTTTGGGGGGGAGAACTATCATTTTAAATCTTTGGGATAAAATACATAAACATTGAGAAAACTTTGCTTTTCAAGAAATTATTATTATTTTTTAATTATTTTTCCATTAATATTGGGAAATATATTGGTGGATATTGGATATTTAATTGTGTATTTTCATTTCCCTTATTTTTATGTTTAGACTAAGATAAAAAGATAAAGTTAATCTTTAAAAAACACTCATAATTAAATAACACTTAAATGTAATCTGCCCATTTTAAAATTAATAGATTTCATACTGTACATTATAATGTTAAGATGCCTAAATGCACTTAGGTTTTCATATTTATTTATTTTGACAAACTCTTTTAGAATTTTATATTGGCCGCAAGGTGAAAAAATCAGCTGCTTTGTGGTTTCAGCCAGACTTTTAATATCAATGCATTCCTAATTTGTTCATTTGTATTTTGTTTCCTTAGGCCAGCTTCAAAGCACTACAACAAATCTTTTGCACTAAAACCCTCTCTAGAGTCTCATTATGCTGATTCTGGCTGTATGCAGAAACCAGTTGTACCTGGCTAAATAATTGAAAATGTCAGATCAGAGACATGTTTCTGAACTATTTTGTACAATTTGCCATATTGAATAGAAAGGCACCCTCTGTCACCTGGGCCAATTACGCACTAGATGTGAAGGGAAGCAGATGTTAGAACATGGTGTGATCTATCACCTGTGATGGATAACACTTCCAATCTAGTAATGGCCATTTGTAACATTTGATTAACAATAAGAGTCAAAAATAGCGAGCTATTACCGCTGTGAAATGGGCAACTGTTATTCTGCATCTCGGTGTGAGTCATCCTTCATTTAACATTCAGAAAAGCTATCCATTATGCATCATAATTACTTATAAGAGACTTAAAGAACAATGACCTCACAAATGCTCAAACGTGCAGTAAAAGGCTCTTAGCGGCAGCATTTTAAACTTACAGGTTTTTGACATGCATCTCTTTTCAGATGTGTTGATGGACTCCACGACGGCAACGGCAGAGCTTGGCTGGACGATATATCCATCACTGGGGGTGAGCCTCATTGAAATAATTTAGATGATCAGACCTAGCATAAATGAATAATTCAGCGCACAAATTCAGCGTGACTCATGTGGTGCAGAAATAGAAGTTGAATGAATTCCAAATTAGATTATTTTTAATGCAATCCATGCCGTTTATCTCATTTCTGCACATTTTTACCTTAGATGTCATAATGTGTCTGTAATGGTGCGAAACCACGAACGAATGTCCCATAAATATGCAAATAGCATGAAAAACAAGTTTTTACTATTATAAGCACACGTTGCTTATTCAAATGTTATTATCTGTGCTTCGGTCCCAGTGGGAAGAGGTGAGTGGCTACGACGAGAAGATGAACACCATCCGCACCTACCAGGTGTGCAACGTCTTCAACGCCAACCAGAACAACTGGGTGCGCACCAAATACATCCAGCGGCAAGGAGCCCAACGGATCCACGTGGAGATGAAGTTCTCCGTGCGAGACTGCAGCAGCATCCCGAACGTCACCGGCTCTTGCAAGGAGACTTTTAATCTGTACTACTTCGAGTCAGACAAGGACATAGCCACCAAGGTGTATCCCGCCTGGATGGAGAACCCTTGGATCAAGGTGGATACCATTGCGGCCGATGAGAGTTTCTCCCAGGTGGACCTGGGCGGCCGTGTGATGAAGATCAACACGGAAGTACGCAGCTTCGGACCGGTGTCCCATAAAGGCTTCTGCTTGGCCTTCCAGGATTACGGAGCATGCATGTCGCTCATCGCCGTGAAGGTTTTCTATCGCAAATGCCCCCGAGTTATTCGGAATGGGGCCATCTTTGAGGAGACCTTGTCAGGTGCGGAGAGCACCTCTCTGGTGTCTGCCCGGGGCAGTTGTGTACCTAATGGAGAGGAAGTGGATGTTCCCATTAAACTGTACTGCAATGGAGATGGGGAGTGGCTGGTACCTATCGGGCGCTGTGTGTGCAAGGCCGGGTATGAGTCTGTGGACAACGGGACTGTGTGTAGAGGTGAGTTTTGTTTCTTATTCAATGCTGATTACTGAGTATTTGAATACTGTGTTATTTGTTCACCCTCGTGATATTCCAAACCCACATTTCTGTTATTTTTTAGGGTTTTCCTTTTAAGATCAACAGGCTGTCAAATTCCAAAAAGGACAAAAAGCGTATGGCCCCTATGATGCATTTTGGATGTCAATAACATCAAAATTCTGATAGTTCTACCATAGGCGTCCTATTTGAGAGCTGCGGTTAAAGATCAAAAGTGTATATAAAGACAATGTATATAAAGTTTGCATTGTGTGGCTTTAGGGGCTTATTGCACAAAAATATTCTGAAAGAAGTAGTTAGGAAATGTCTTAAATTAAATTCTAATAAGTTCATAAGAATGTCATTAAAATAAAATAAAAAATTCTTGATGACAGAAAATATTGTTATAATTCTGATTAACTGGCATGATGGAAGTTCAGCACTTGGTTTTGCATTTTTAAAAATATATTATTTTCAGGAATTTTTGTTCAAACTAAAAGTGATAGTTCACCCAAAAATTCTGTCATTAATTACTCACCCTCATGTCGTTCCAAACCTGCAAGACATTGTTCAAGCGAAACAATGTCCTCACTACATTTCTGTGCCTTGACCATGGTAGTACCCTTGCTGTCTACTGAGGGTCAGAAAGCTCTCGGATTTCATGAAAAATATCTTAATTTCTGTTCTGAAGATGAACGAAGGTCTTACGGGTTTGGAAAGACATGAGGTTGAGTAATTAATGACAGAATTATTGGGTAAACTATACCTTTAATTTTTAATAAGTTTTAATAAAGATAATAATAAGGAAAAATAAAACATTCTTAAAAAATGTTATATTCCTAACTTAGTTTTAATTTATGCTAACTTATTCTTACCAGAAAATGTAAAAGTTGATTCGGTTAGTAGTTTTGTTAATCCGTCTCAGAAGATATGAAATATTGAGTCGTACAGATTTTATAGAGCTTTATAGTACATTATAGTTCCTTTTTGGATCTAGACAGCAGCACATGATCGCTATCTTTAAAAGCTATTTTTGTGTCTAATGAAGATAGTATCAAAATGAGAGTCTGAAACCACATTAAGCCGAGTAATTAATAATTGAATATCAATTTCATTTTTGGATGAACTTCTTTAAAGTCTGCCAATCTCATCCTTGTCTGGTCTGGTTTGGTTTTAATGGCACACTAAAAAGTGAAACTGTTGTTGTTACTTAGGGAGCAATTTCCAGCAGATCTGACCCTACGAAAGGACGTTCGTAGGTGTAACTGGATGTTGTCAGAATGATTTAGACGTTACCACATGAAGCACATTTTTAGGTAGCCTGACAAAACATTTTTTACAGTGCCGGATGCCAGCAATGATAAATAAATAATGAATAGCCTCAGCTTCAGCCTCAGATTTCTGTACAATGAAAAAGAGATACATTGCCAAATTAGGAAAATGCCTGCATGCAGATTTACACTCATTTTACGCAATGACAGAAAAGGGCGACTTAATGTCCTTCCTGAATGCACACACACGTATGTTACAGAGTCTTACTATTGAGAGCTGCCCTACAGGTACAAAACATTCACTGACCTTATCGTTGTGAAAGCCAGTTGAAAGACATCGGGCCATTGTGTCCTCCAGCCTGTGTCTGTCCATGTGCAGTGGTTTTCTTACAGTGTTATTTCAAACGAAATGTGCACACGCGCATGTACACAAGCACTGACCCTTAAAACTGTTTTTATAACATGAGATTTTGCCGTTATTCTTGCATTACTCGACAAGGAAGTAGCTCTCTTGTGTCTGAGAACAAGGGAGCCGTAATGAATAGAAATCCTCCAGTCAGTTGTAACGCTGCATTGATAGGTTGGAATGAATAGAGGGATTTGGGTAGAAAAAGGTGTTTTTTTTTTCGCCCTCGCTCAGCACTCGGCAGATATGATTACATTCAAGGAGAGCAGGGCGGTGATGAGGGAACGATTTTGGCACGGTTCTCCTGGGTACTGTTGACAGAATCTAAATTACTAATATCCCCCCATCTGGAGCAGCTGATGGATGGAAATCGGCAATATCCTGGGCGAGCACAAGGCAGACCGTCTCTTTTATTTCCCCTGGTGTTAATCCTCCTCGCTGCCACCACTTTAATGACACTCCTAATTGACTAATTTGGAGTGCGCAGGGGGAGCTGGGTGGACGCTTTGACGCTGCTCTCCCTGGCGAGTCCATTCAGAAATCAAGCACAACTATAATGAATCCCTCTGTGGTTGTTAACCAAGGGCTGCATGTAGACAAATGGATTTATGAGTTCCATTTTCTGTCTCTAAAGGAAATATGCAGTAGCAGTACTCATTAAAGCCAAGTAGAGACATAATGGTCTAATTGATAGCGAGCTTGACGTGTAATTCTCTTATACTGTAATGTAACCGGAACAATGGCACAGCACTGCATGCTTCAGGTCAATGCAACTTCAAAAGCCCTACGTGAGTGGTTTCATCTCAGTGGCTGTGTGTTTTTAAAGCCTTCCAGTGCTCAACAATAAGGATTTTGTCTGCTGGCTTAGTTGGACTAAGTTGCCAATATTTCAAATGGCTCCACCTCATAAAATGATAACTTTTAATTATATTTTTTAATAATTGGTTTTGTTTTGTTTTCTTAATAAAATAAATAAATAAAAACAAATGCATCTTTATTACAATAAAGTATTTTCTTTTGACTTTTGTTAGTTAAGCCATTAGTTAAAAATTGAAATAAATTTTTTTCTATTAGATAAATAATGAACATATTTTATTAAATATTTTATTATTAGTTTATTGCATTTGTTAAATTTGCAATATTTGTTTTGCAAAAAAATAAATAAATACATTTTAAATAAACTTGAAATAATCAATTTGTTGTTTGCTTTGTTTTGACTTATATCTAATGCTGGCCCCAATATATAAAATGACTCTAATGTGTTTTTATTTTATTTTATTTGTTTAAATAAAATGTGTTAATGAAGTTAACACATTTTAATTACATAAAATACATTTGTATGGAATATAATTTTTAAAAATATATTTAAATTATATATATATATTTTTTTTTTAAAGTATAATAACTTTTTTTTTTTTTTACATATTTTTAATTTTTAATATTTTATATTTTTTTATTAAATGCATTCATTTATTATTTTTATATGTGTCAAAATATATATTTATTTAAATAAAGGTTTTTTTTAACTACAAAAAGCAACAACATTCAGTAGTTTATTAGGTTTTCAAGCAGGAGTAGATAAATTATACTGACCCAAAACTCTCTCATGCTGGCCCTGGGCCATCGGTCCGTTCTTATTGTTGAGCCCTGTCAAATATTTAGCCTATTGAAACATGACTAACCATCCTTATGAAAGGAAGTACGGGAACAGCTTGTGAAATAGCATTTATATGTGTCTTGTGCCAGGAACGCCTCTCCTCTCCATAGCCAAGAGCTGAAACTCACCCACACCTCAAGTAATTATAGTGGTAGCACTAATTCAGTTAATCCAGCTGACATTCTGACCCTCTCTGTTCTTCTCTGGAGATCTTCTTCAGTCCTCTCGCCATTATTCATATGTGGTTTGTGATGGATATTATTGACTGGCTTTCTAGATTGCATTTCATAAGTAATTACATAGACCTTAAAGTACAGTCTCTGCTTGTTTTAACGTTTAATGATTATAAATGGCTAAATTCAGCCGGACGGTGTTGGCCGCAGATGAATTACCTCTACTGTATGGAGCTGGACTGTGGCCAATCCCTCAAGCCAAACCCGCCTGGGTCTCCAAACAAGATGAATGTCGGCTGATTTTGCTTATATTGTGTTATGGCCAATCAATACATTCCTCCACAGACAGCTGCAATGTGCATTTGTTTTAGTATGTTGACCTTTCAATTAGAAGTAATGGTTTTGTTATCTTGTTATCTTTTAAATATGATATTTTATTATCTAGGGAGTATGTTAGGCCTAAACCTCAGTTTTTTATTTGTTAGAGTAAGCTCAAAGCTAAAAGCTTACAGTAGGTTTTCAAGCAGGAGTAGATAAATTAATATAAATTATACTGACCCAAAACTCTCTCATGCTGGCCCTGGGCCATCGGTCCGTTCTTATTGTTGAGCCCTGTCAAATATTTAGCCTATTGAAACATGACTAACCATCCTTATGAAAGGAAGTACGGGAACAGCTTGTGAAATAGCATTTATATGTGTCTTGTGCCAGGAACGCCTCTCCTCTCCATAGCCAAGAGCTGAAACTCACCCACACCTCAAGTAATTATAGTGGTAGCACTAATTCAGTTAATCCAGCTGACATTCTGACCCTCTCTGTTCTTCTCTGGAGATCTTCTTCAGTCCTCTCGCCATTATTCATATGTGGTTTGTGATGGATATTATTGACTGGCTTTCTAGATTGCATTTCATAAGTAATTACATAGACCTTAAAGTACAGTCTCTGCTTGTTTTAACGTTTAATGATTATAAATGGCTAAATTCAGCCGGACGGTGTTGGCCGCAGATGAATTACCTCTACTGTATGGAGCTGGACTGTGGCCAATCCCTCAAGCCAAACCCGCCTGGGTCTCCAAACAAGATGAATGTCGGCTGATTTTGCTTATATTGTGTTATGGCCAATCAATACATTCCTCCACAGACAGCTGCAATGTGCATTTGTTTTAGTATGTTGACCTTTCAATTAGAAGTAATGGTTTTGTTATCTTGTTATCTTTTAAATATGATATTTTATTATCTAGGGAGTATGTTAGGCCTAAACCTCAGTTTTTTATTTGTTAGAGTAAGCTCAAAGCTAAAAGCTTACAGTAAATCAAGGTTGTGTATTCTTAATTATGTAAATACAATGTATCTGAAGTGTTACATTCGCTAAATCCAGTAATAAGTGTCCGCTGGAATGTTGCATCTGTCTTTTAATCTTTCACAGTCACTGTTGAGGGCCACTCAGTGACCTTTGTGCAATGCTGCCGCTGTTTA